GATCTCTCGAGTTTTATAAAACGATCTCTCGAGTTTTATAAAACGATCTCTCGAGTTTTATAAAACGATCACTCGAGTTTTATAAAACGATCTTCGAGTTCTTATAAAACAATCTCTCGAGATTCATAAAACTGCTGCGTTTACGCGTTTGCGGGGAATTTTGGCTATTGATTCCGTCGTACCGATTTTGACCCCAACAAGTTCGACCCATCCAAGTGTACCAGACTTCCACGCCATAGTATCAATTCCACAAATGATTGATCTCATTCTAGCCGTACATAGCCCATAGTTAGATGCATCCAAGATCACCCTTGCACTTGACACTAGTTCATGATAGTTCTCCATTTCTTCTACAGGATCTCACCTTTTATATAAACGAGTAGGTGACTGCTCTGATACCAATTGTAAGTAAAATTATGGCACGATATAAAGCACACCAAAGAATATCTCTACAAAGATATGTGTATTTACTAGTATTCTTTTAAAGGGAACTTACAAGTCTCTCTTTAAACAGAATTCCAAGCCTCACATGTTCTAAGATCGAATACAAGATCTCTAGAACCTCTCCTCTTAGCCCTTAGTGCTTTCACTCGCTTACAAGCTTATGAAACCACTCCTATGCTAAGAATACAATTCTGGTGATAACCCTAATACCTATGTCGCACAAGACTATATACATTATAGTCAAGTCGGCTACCCTAGCCTATCTACCCAATATTCACTAAATATCTAAATATGGTAAGTTCCCTAAAAACTCATACTAAGTATTTATGAACTTGCCATCACGAGATCTTCCTTCTCCAAGGTGAATCTCTCCATGTTTGCTCTTCAAGTCGTCATTGCATTAACTTCAACTTGATCGCCAAGCCTTTCTTAAAGTCTTCATCTTATTCATCCGCATGCACACTCATGGTCGTAGACTCTGCTTCATTTGTTGTTGCACTTGCGTCTGTATCAGAATGTCCACCAGATCCTTGCACCTTCACATTCCAGTTAGATTCTTTCTCCTATATCTACACGATGAAATTTTTTTGACTGAGATAAAGCTTGCCTCTAAAGCTCATGAAGGCAAGGTAACGAAAGTGGAAATCCACAGTTTAAATTCACCGCAAGCTGAGAATTTTTTTGTGAAGCACATTGTCTTCGCGACAATTTTGTTTTGAATTTCATATATAGAAACTCACTTACATTGTAAGTGAATTCACCATTTTCATAGAGCTCAAGTGAAGATGAAAATTTCAAAAACTATGACATTGTTGAGACAAATTACAGTGGTAGGAAAGGTTTTAGTTACTTCTTATTTTACTAAATCTTATTTGATAGGTTTATCTTTTGCTTGGTGCAGCCATATGGGATGCAAGCAAGAGAGAAGACAAAGAGAGCAAATACTTGATTGACACCAAGAACACAGCCGACACAACAATATAGAGCATAGAGAAGAGCCTCGGTAAATACAGAGAGGAGATCCTAAGTGAAGTCGCCAAGGAGATTGAAGAGGCTGTTGCGGATCTAAGGACCGCTTCGTGTGGAGATGATGTCAATGAGATAAAGGCCAATATTGATTCTGCGAACAAAGCTGTTTCAAATATTGGAGGGCACATGTCTGGGGGCGGTTTTGGTGGGGATTCTGCACCAGGAGGAGGAGGAGGATCTCAGGGAGGCACCAGTGATCAAACTCCAGAGAGATTAGGTTAGATCATGGTTGAGTTCTATGTTGAAGGAAACCTTTGTTTTTAGAACAACGAGAAGTGGATCTGTCCTGGAATAACCTTTTATATGAATTGAACTTATTTGGAAGTAAGACTTTGTAGGTGAACGCAAGTTAAAGTTTCTCTGCTGAAAACCTTTTGTTACGGTACCTGTTTTACAAGTAAAGTTTGAGAAAACCCGCTAATATTCTTGGCAACTAGGGGTACATGGATCCTGAATACTATATGACTAAACTGCTGATGAATAAGAGTGATGTGCATATAGTGGGGATCTGAAAGGGTTCCAGACATATGTTGATATAGCCTTGAGATGCGTGGATAGAAAGGGAGTGAAGAGGCCAATAATGAGTTAGGTTGTGAAACAAATAGAGAGAATAGTTTATCTGGCCATGTCGATTCAACATCCACTTCTGGTGCTTAGAGTTTTTTCCAATAATAGAGATAACATTGTGAATTGGTCTGAATATATCAAGCAAGTTATGCTTGTAAACTTCTTTTTTTGGCTTCTTTAACAAACTCCTCATGTATCTTTCTTTATTGAAAGCTTGTTTTTTTTCCTCTCTCACTCTCTCTTTTGGCCAATGTTTCAAGTTCGTGAGTTAGCTACTGCTTGTAAAACTCTTTTAAGGCTCTTCGTTATGGTTCAGACTGAGTCAGACTTTTTTTTTTGAATTGTTTATCATTTAAGGATGCTAAGGTTTTTACGGATTCAATTCTATATTTCGAATTTAATAGCAAGTAATCTACCTTTGAATGCAATTACTAATCAGATTTCTGGATCCTATGTTTCAGCTGTCGCGTGCAAACAAGGAGCGAGCAACGATCGATGCTATGGACTGACAGTCGACCGATGCTTCTACAGAAAAGCATTGACGACCTAATAGATTATGTCCAAGTAAACACTAGACTAACTATCGTACGCCTAGGTATCTAATCCAGTAGGGTTCGAGTTCCGTTAATCGATGGCACTCCCGTGCCTCTCAATTTTCCTATGATTCTAGGTTCAAACAATCAGTCACACTGTCGTGGTATTTTAAATATTCCTGATTCTAGTATTAAAAGCTACCCTAGTGTAGAATTCAATAAGAAACCCTAGAAATCCTAACAGATTCAGTCTGACATTAAGCTCATGAAATCCCTAAATCTAACAAGCTGATGACTCAAACATAAAAGTAATAACAAAAATCATAGTCTGAATAATATAATTGAAATATAAATCAAAGATAAAACCAATGGAGTTCCAATAAATCTCTGAATGAGATTTGATTTTCTCTTCGACCCTATAACAAGAACAAAGAATAATAGAAAGCAGAGCCGTCAACAATATCTTAGAAAATACAGATAAAGTTTAAAGTCGTTCAGGGGTATTCTGGTAATTTTTGGTGGTTTCTGGGCTTAAGTCTGTCTTGAAACAAGGCGAGTCTGTCTTCTGGGATCACTGTCGATCGACACTAAGTCTGTGCCGCCGATCGACACCCATTCATCTTCTTGACAGCTTCCTCTTGCGAGGCAGACATACCACTCTTCAGTAAATTGGGCATAACTTTAGATCTAACTGTCATATGGATCTCAAAACAGTGAAATTGGAAAGCTGACCCAAAGCTCTATCTTGTGTAAAATTATCATCTCAATCGCACCATGGGAAGGTCTGCATACATGGCTTAACATCTGATACGTTTATGCAGTTGTACACTTTAAAAAGCTCCAAGATCACCAAAGTTCTCCAGAACATACCTAAACCTGAAAACACTCTACAACATACTCCAACCCCATATAATAGATTCAATAGGGAACATATACCATGGGTGAAAACATGTAAAATCCATGGTATATAAACTCCCCGAAACTTATTAACACCTCTACTATCTTGCAGCTACATCAAATAAATGCTAACCTCAGAGGCACTTTATATACCTTATCTTAGTCAAGAAACTAAATCCATTCTATCAGCAACTTAGCGAATACTAGCTTGACTCACCCCTCTACTAACCTCATTTCTTACATAAAATAAATGTGCATGTTTTACCTTGGGAGTATCGATCAAAAGATATGTGGACTCTTACCCCTACAAGTACCTGAACACACAGGTAGCCTTCTCCAATCCTTTTCTTCTCCCTTTTTTCCCTCTTCTCTGAATCTTTTAGATCTCAAACAAAATGGATAATGATGTTGTTACAGTACATCTTGCCATCTCATTCTTGATTATATATATATATATAATATTTTTTTTTTTGATTTTTTTTTGACAAAGTGTAGGCGAATAATGGGGTCTTAGTTAATGTAATACCCCTCGCTTCCAACGATGTGTGATCGTTCCATTAGAGTAGAATAATGGGGTCGCGAGAAACACTCCTACCCCTCTAAACCGCATGAAATATTTTCAATATTTTATTTGTAGATGCCAAAGCAAGAGAGAGAGAAGGGAATCAGAAGCACACAGACTTTACCTTCCAGACTTGCAGGAGGAATTTGATCCAATGTCTACCAAGCCCTAAAGGAAGCAAGTGAGTCAGGTTAGAGTTGGAGGTTAGCTTCAGTTCCTTCAAACGTTCTAAGAAAGTGTGATCTAATGGCCAAATGATCCACTTTAGTATCTCTAGTACAATTTGCTGTCAACATATCTAAGAATGGTTCTGTAGAGTAGTTAGATATTAAGAAAAAATTTCAATACGATCATAATCCCATTCATGACTCAATAAACTTTTTTTACAAACTTAAGTAAGTATAGCAAATAAAAATTCAAAATAGATAAAAGCATCAAAGAACCTCCCCAAACTTAAATAACAATGTCCCCAGTGTTATCCCGTTCAGGTTTGGTTAGGAAAAACAAATCATATGAAAAAGTGTTAGAGAAATCCGAGTATACAAAACTCCAAAAGTAGTGTTGATCGATGGTAATAGATGTGTGTCGACCGATGGTAAGTGGCTAGTGTCGGCCGATGGTGATCTCGAACTTTCTCCTGCTCTTTTTTTAATATAATAATAAGAATAAAAATAAAAATAAAACATATTATCAGTAAACTTCCCCAGACTTAAACAACACTATTTAGTGTCATACACTATGAGATTAGTGAAGAAAATAAAACATAAGGAAAAGATGTAAGAGAAAATCGAGTTTATACATGCCTTTTGATATGAGTGTCGATCGGCACAGTTAAGTGTCAATCAATTCTTGTGATGCTATGTCGATCGACACCGGCTGGTTGTGGTCGTTTGATGCTGGTTTATCAATTCGTCTCTCCTCCTTTTTTATGAACCTAAAAATAAAAAAAATATGAAATCAATAAAAACTGAAAATAAAATAAAATTTAAAACTTACCAAACAATGGGTTTCCTCCCACTCAGTGCTTATTTTCAGTCATTAGATTTACTTGTGGAGATCTGATTCAGTCTGGATGAAAATATGAACTTTCTCCAAAACAAGTCTCAGTGTCTTTCTTCCTCATCTTCTTGATGCAGTTAATAAAAGCTTTTGCAGAAGCTTCCCCTTTGTCTCTTAGCTATGGATCACGTTGTACTTTGACCTTGGTAAAAGGTTCAGGACCTCCTCTGCAGCACACTTTACACTCAAGACATCCCTCATGACATCCTTGAAAGATCCAGTGATAAGAAATCTGCATTTAACTTCTTTTTCTTCTTCCTTCTTCCTTCTTCCCCCAGACTTAGGCCTTTCGGCCTCGGCCTGTTCTCAAATTTGGAGGACATCGATCGACACTGATGGCTGAATGTTGATCGATTCTGGAGGCTTAGGATCGATCGATGCCAATGGCTGAGTATCGATCGACACTGATGCTAGTTTTGCAGTCTCGTGACTTGAATTAGATGTAGAAGCTGGATCATCCGACTGCTCTAAGCACGAAATAACTTCATGCGTTTCTTCATCTCCAAAGAATCGTAGAAGACAGTTTCATCAAAATTAGTCAGGCACATCTTATTTTATCACAAACTATCCCTATTATAGCCATGAATGCTCTTCCAAAGGGAAGATAAGATATCTTGCCTGATTTGGTCTCCACGACATGAAAGTCTACAAGGACAATGCATTCCTCTATCTCCACCTTAACATTTTTGACCATGCCTGCTGAGTTTTCCTTGGATTTATCCACAAAAGTGAAATTTATTGAGAAGGTTCCATCTTTAGTCCTAATAGCTTAGCAGTGTCTATGGCCATGATGCTGACTGCAGATCCAGTATCGCATAGGGCGTTTGAAAAATCGTGGTCATGTATACAGCATGAACTCAGGAACTTACCAGGATCTTGTTCCTTCTTTAGTGTCTCTTAGGTTTACGGCTGAACTTATTGAATAGCAGCTCAATGTCTTTATCTGTCTCTCTGCTCTCTTTGAGGAAATTATTAAGTCTATACTTATGATAGGCATCTTTGAAACACATATTCTTAGGAACTCTCTTCACTCTTTCATGAAATCCATCTAGTTCAACTTTATTAGCTTCTCTCCTTAGGTGTTTGGGAACATAGAGTTTCCTAGAATTCACTCTCTTCCCAGTTAGACTTCTTTCCTTTGTTGCCTGCTGTCCCATGATAGGTTCATGCCTGTCTATTTGGTGTCTTTTGAAACTGGATGTGTACCGTCGATCGACACCGTAAACACGAAAGATGTTTCAGATAGGGTCGATTGCTCTTGTTCTGGTGCATCTACAGGTTATAGATTGGTATGCACTGTAGGCATTTCTAGTGATTGGCGTGCATTAGTGCTTGCCGTGGGTGGTTTTTGGTCGGTGCTCGGCTGCTAGTCGATCATAGGTTGCCTGTTGATGTTGATCTATTCCGTCCTATTGGCATAGATTGACGGCAGCCGTTTTAAAACAGTATGGGTTGGGAGGATGCGGGTGTCGTGTGGCGAAGTCTGAGTGTCTCTGAATTTTCACCATTCACACGTCTTCTTCTACGGGTGTCGATCGATGCTCAACTATTGGTGTCGATGGACACCAGTGCGAGCTGCCAAAGGACATAGAACTTTCGGCTAG